TACCTAATGTAGAAAAAGAACAAAATAATCTATATTTTTGTTCAGAAAATCGAGATATTCCTATTTTTTCTATCGATGTACTCCAACCTACTGATATTGAATTTGAATTCAATCACTCAAATTTTTTAAAAAATATAAAAGAAAAATACATCTTTCATGTCAATACACATGAATTGGGTAAAAATTAAGATTTAGACCCAAATGAGGAATTTTTTTGGATCCCTCTAACCCTTACTATCAAGAGGAACAAGAAGAATTAGATCGTTTAAAAAATAATAATCTTTCTGATTTCTTACGATTAGATCATCTGCATCAAAAAGAAAGACAACATGTAATAAATCTAGTAAATCAATATAGATCTAGTTTTTACTTACCAGGAGACGATTTACCTGGTACAGATGTTATCATGCATAAAATTCCTACTATTGATGATATTCCTGTAAATACTAAACAATATAAATTTCCTCACGCGTTAAAAGAAGAAATCATTAAACAAATGAAACATTCCTTTATGGATAGTTCCAAAAAAACCCGATTCCCATGGTGTAGTTAAATGGAGAGTTGTTCTCGATTTCCGATGTGTTTGGGTTTCGAAGTAGATTTCAGGTACCTGGCGACTTGAAAGGCCTGGTTGCCTGGGATTGGTCGGCTCTGGAAGGGGCGAGTAGGTCGACTTTCCCTCTCTTCTAATTGTTCTCTAGAATTCAAGGGAAACTGACCAGCGTGCTGGCAGTATTGTCTCGCGTTCTCGCTTTAGACGGTCGCTCAAGCGGATTTTGTTAAAAACCAGTTGAACCCTATTGTTCTTTTTCGTTAAAGTGTTGTTCTCGATTAATTTTTCTACTATTGTATCGTTTGCGTTTCTTTCTTGTACACGGGGCTGTTCCCCCTCTCAGACAACCCCCCGGGTTGTCCCGAAGAAACGGAACAGTGCGGAAGTGTAAGGACGCGAACGTTTAAAAACAGTGTTTGCCTTAGTTTAATTTCACTTTTTCTTTCTTTTATTATTTTTATTTTGTTTGTTCATACCTAGTTTCTAAACTATAGATTAAACTCTGACAATTTTTGGTGCATCGGCCGGGAAAGTTTTTTTTCTTTTAAGAAGAAAGTAACTCCGACGAACCCGCGGTAAATTCCAGTTTATAGCACTACCTGTCCTTCCGCGAAGGGTCGTGTTTACGAATTCTGCCTTCTATTTCCCTTCCCCGAGGGGAAAAGTGTTTGTGCGAATCGACTGATTACCTTTTCTCCCAAAGTCATAAAGACAATAACGCGAGTGAACCAGTGTTTCCCCTCCCCCCCCCTTTTTTGACTTCTGCAGTGCCGCACAACTCTACAACGATGGCTCCAACCTTGAGAAAACTGTTGTCGCAACAGGCCACTCGCCTCGACACCATAAAAAGAACTATCACGCGTAGAAAACAGGCCTCGAGGGAAGGAAGCCTACCTATTCCTCTCCTTAGGTCTAGGCTGAACCAGTTAGAAACATATTGGAAAGAGACCCGTGAAGCTCACCTAGAGATCATGAGTACTGCGGAGTCTGAAAACGAGCCCTACGTTACTGAACAACAATTTGAAAACATGGAGGTCGAATATGAAGCCGAAAACGATGAATTAGCTTCACTATTATACGACTCAACAAGACCCACTCAACAAAACGAGCCCCCCAACTTACACACAGGCGTACCAATTTCAAGCAAATTGCGCCTACCGAAGTCTACATTACCGCAATTTTCGGGGAGATACGAAGATTGGGGAAACTTCTCAGACTTGTTCCTCTCCATGATAGATGAGGACAAAACGCTACCTGGCGTCGTAAAATTGCAATACTTGAAGCAATGTTTAATCGATGAAGCTGCTGATTTTGTGAAGGACGTTAAAGTGGAAGAGTCAAATTACAAGCCCACTTGGGAAGCATTAAAAGGCAGATACTGCAACGTACGCCTACTCATACATACTCACTTTAACACACTTTACAATCTACCCAAACTACAGGATGAATCTGTGTCAGACCTTAAAACACTCATCGACAAAACTCGACAAGCTGTCCGCTCTTTGAGGAACATCGGAAGAGATATCGTTGGTGATTGGCTGGTTTACCACACTAGTGAACGGCTGGATCCAGCGTCGCGCCTCCAATGGGAAAACTATCTCAGCACTCGGAGTTCGAAACTCCCCAATTCGGAAGGCAATGACTCGGAACCCGATCATTATCCCACATTCGAAGCTTTAGCAAAATTCATTGACGAGCGAATCATCACCCTAAACATGACAGACTCGCATCGCTCAATGACGACCCCCAACTCGCCCGCATCAAGCTTAAAAAATTAAGGACAGAAAAACGTCAAGAGGACATTTCACAACGCTGCAAAGAGCGGACGTCCAAACCGGAAATGTCCAAAGTGTTCCGACGAACACTACATAGGTCGCTGTCCGACCTTTAAGCAACTTAGCACATTGGAACGCCGTAACGAAGCACGACGAATAAAACTTTGTTTTAATTGTCTAGGCCTTCATCAAATCAAGGACTGCACTTCCAAGGGACGCTGCTTCGAATGTCATAAGCAACATCACACCCTTCTGCACAGGCCACCTAGAGATAAAACCTCCGAGAACGAAAAGAATGCAAAACACCCTCACCAGACCACAGTGGGCCAGAAGGCAGGCAAAAGCGGCCAAAACTCGATTATTTTTTTTTTAATTTTTGTTTTGTTTATAGTAATCTACATATTTCAAAGTAGATTTTAGCCAATTTCTGTTGCATTTAATAAAACATTTTTAACTCTGCTGTATTTTGAATTTAAATTTGACAGTAGAATTTGAGTTCGGTTTATGCGCGAAATAATGAATATAGTTCAAGATGGTTAACAATTTCATAAAATTTTGAATTAGATACTTATTCTGTATGTAAAAACAAGTAAGTGTCAAGAAAAAAATATTTAAAAAAATATATATACAGCATAATACACGACATTATTATTCGCAGGTGCATATTATTTTTCGACTATGCTCGCTGCCGAATGCAGATTCCCCTAGATTCCGCTGCATAAAGAAAAATCTAAAGTGTAAATCGCTTCATTATTTCATATACTTCAATTTAATCCTGCCCACTTTTGCCCGTTTTCACTTTTGAATTAGAAATATTGCAAAAAAGTCGCGTGCGAGCACTTAACATTTTTCGACTTTTATATAGCCTCGATACTTGCTTATGGTTCCACCTATTTACCTACAGTCAATTTTTTACTGACAAAATTAATATTTTGTTTTCTACACATTGTGTTAATAATATTTATATGCTCCTACTAAACAAATAGATGGCGCCACCGTCGGTATCCAAGTGAATTTTCTTGTAAAACATGTTTTATCGAATATACTGATCATATTTTTTGCTTATGTTGTTTGAGAATATAAAATTCTAAAATACTTATCAAATTTAATAATAAAATTTAATATATATTATATATATATATTTTAATTTAATTTATTAAATTTAATAATTAAGGTCCTAGGGACCTTAAAAATACCCTAAAATTCCAGTTTATAAAAATAGTTTTCTTACGTTTTTTGGTTCGTATTGTAAATTTTTAATTTTCAGTATTATATTATTTATGTATTTGTTAGTTTTAAGTTATGTATTCGTAATCAGCACCCCCAAAAAAAACCTCAAAAAGAATTTTAGCTGAATTTAATGAGTTTTTAAATTTTTTGATCCACCATATTGGATCCGCCATTTTGAATTTTTGAAATCTGACATCGGATTTGTAATCAGCGACCCCGAAAACCCCCGAGTAATAATTTTTGAGTAAATTGAATCAACTTTTAAAAAAGACGTCCGCCATATTGGATGCGCCATTTTGAGTTTTTGAAAAGTGACATCGGATTCGTAATTAGCGACCCCGAAAACCCCCAAGTAACGATTTTCGAGTAAATTGAATCAACTTTTAAAAAATTCGTCCGACATATTGGATACGCCATTTTGAATTTTTGAAAACTGACATTGGATTCGTAATCAGCGACCCCGAAAACCCCCGAGTGACAATTTTCATGCCAATTGGATCGATTTTTCAAAAAGTCGTCCGCCATATTGGATCCGCCATTTTGAATTTTTGAAAACTGACGTTAGATTCGTAATCAGCGACCCCGAAAACCCCCGAGTAACGATTTTCGAGCGAATTTGATCACTTTTTGAGTTTTGGCCGCTTTTGCCTGCCTTCTGGCCCACTGTGCAGACACAAAGTCCATCGGCTACTACAGCACCCACGGTTCATACGAATACAACGTCCATCAGCAGTTCCAACCGGACAATTCTTCTGGCAACAGCCTGCGCTATTCTTGAAGGACCAAAGGGCCAAACCACGGCCCGTGCCATGCTGGATCAAGGATCTGAGGTATCCTTCATTTCTCAGGATATCGTCAGGAAATTGAGACTACCATGCTACCCCGCAAACGTCACTATCCTAGGATTGGAAAACCATAAAGTGGGGGAGGCAAAGACAGTTGCCACAATGACCCTAAGGTCCGTGCACGCGCCCGACTTCCATCTCGAATTCCAAGCTTATGTGGTCCCAAAACTCACATCAAGGCTTCCAACGCGAAAAATAGTTGAGATCAATCTGGATTGGCTCGGAGCAGAAAAGTTGGCTGATCCTCTTTATTACCAACCTGGAACAATCCAACTTATAATTGGCGCTGATTACTATGGACAGCTACTACTACCAGGGCTGTACCAGATTGAAAGTCCAAAAGCAACAGCCCAAAAAACAGCACTGGGCTGGGTTATTTCGGGAACTGTTGAAACCGAGTTTGCACGGCGGGCGGAACCAACTACTTCAAGAACAGTTTCGTCAATGCATTGCGCATCGTCAGAAAATATTCAAGACGAACTGCAACGCTTTTAGGAATTTGAAGCCATCCCAAACAATAAGGTGATCAAGCCAGATGACGAAAGTTGCGAAAACCACTTCGCTAATACACACACACGAACCCCTGAATGCCAGTACATGGTCCGTCTCCCCATCAAGTGTCAACCTCCAGAGGCTGCAGCTGAAACCAGAAGACTAGCTGCAAGCAGCCTAATTGGAACAGAGCGTCGATTTAAGCAAGATATCAAGTTATCCGAAGCCTACTGCGAGTTCATGGATAAATACGAATCAGACGGTCACATGAAGAGAGTGCCAGAGGAGGAATTGAACAACCCAAAGGCTTGGTACATACCACACCACGCAGTAGTCCAACAAACAAATAACTTGGATTGGAAATTACGAGTGGTGTTTAACGCATCAAGGTTAACCTCTCAGAAAAAATGCCTTAATGACTTCCTGCATGCTGGACCTGCTCTACAGAACGACATTGGCCTCATACTATTAAACTTGCGCAGACACAGAGTCGTTTTCACCGCGGACATAGTAAAAATGTTCCGCCAGATCCTCGTTCATCCGGAAGACCGCGATCTACAACGAATTCTTTGGCGATCAACTCCGGAGAAACCCATCGAAGAATATCGGCTCTGCACCGTCACATATGGCACGGCGTGCGCGCCATATCTCGCCATCCGCACCTTGCAACAACTTTCGATCGATGAAGGAGCTCAATTTCCACTTGGAGCGGACTGTTTGCTAGATAACACCTATGTCGACGATATCTTCGACGGCGATGATGACGTCCTACACGCTGAGAAGAAACGAGATCAAGTGATAGATCTCTGTGCGAAGGGGAACCTTAAGTTAGATAAATGGGCAGTAAACCACCCCGACCTACATCCTTCATCTTGCGCACCACCATCCTCGGAGATCATCGACAAAAACACAGTTTTTAAGACTCTGGGGATACTTTGGGATTCAAGAGTCGACTACTTTGCTTTCAACAATCCCCAAAAAACACACATCTCGGAGGATGCAACAAAAAGAATTATTTCCTCTACCATTGCCAAGCTGTACGACCCTTTGGGCTGGCTCGCACCTATCACAGTGGTCGCCAAGATCATGCTCCAAGATATCTGGATACTCAGAATTGACTGGGATGTTGAACTCCCTACTGAAGTGCAAGAGCGCTGGACGCAGTACTATCAATCCCTAGCTGGATTATCAGGTATCCAGATACCACGCTGGCTGGGAAGCTTTTCGAATTCGCTGATCGAACTCCATGGCTTCTCAGATGCTTCCACTCGAGCCTACGCCGCAGCGGTCTACGTGCGAGTTCTTAAATACAAAGAGGACGCTCAAGTTACACTTCTTGCAGCGAAGTCCAAAGTCGCTCCTATTAAGACTGCAACAATACCGAAGCTAGAACTCTGTGAAGCTGCTCTCCTAGTAAAGCTCTTAAAATACGTCTTAAAGACGGCTGACCTTTCTAAATACTGTACCTGTGACGGCTTGGAGTGACAGTCAAGTCACTCTAGCCTGGATCAATCAGCATCCATCCAAATGGAAAACCTTCATTGCGAACCGCGTCTCCTACATTCAGACTGAACTGCCTTCGGTGAAATGGAGACACGTGCCTAGCCAAGAAAATCCGGCTGACCTAGCGACACGAGGTCTTCAACCAGAGACCCTGCAAGAAAATAATCTTTGGTGGCATGGTCCACAATGGCTGTCCCTATCACCGGTTAATTGGCCTTCTCAATCCCAAGGTCACGATACCAATAGCGAGGAAGTGCAAGCGTTCCTTACTGTCGAAGCTGAAGTCAACAATGAGATTCTTTCGAGATTCTCCTCTCTGCAACGACTTATTAGAGTTGTAGCATTCTGCCTGAGAGTGTTCCAGAACTTTAGAGCAAAAGGCTCTGGAAACTCTTTCAAGGATACGGCCCTTTCCTTGACCGAGATAGAATCTGCCAGATCGACGGTCTTAGCGATAGCGCAGAGGAAGACATTCTCTGAGGAGATAGATTCTCTGAAAAACGGGAGAAACATTCCCAAACATAGTAAACTCCGCAATCTCAACCCCTTTTTGGACAAAGCAGGAATCCTCCGAGTTGGTGGACGTTTGAAACACTCTTCTCTAGTCTTCTCCTCGAAGCATCCACCGATTCTCCCAAAAGATTCACCACTGACCCCCTTGTACGTGAACTTAGCGCACAAGGTCTCGTGTCATGGAGGGCCAAAGCTAACCCTCAGCATCCTTCGAAACTTAGTGTGGATTGTTGGTGCAGCTTCACTAGTGAGAAAACTGGTACGCACGTGCGTGCCCTGCCACCGAATTAAACCTCGCTTCCCGACGCAGCTCATGGGTGATCTGCCACCTGCAAGGATCGAACCGGCTCGTCCATTTACAAACTGCGGCCTTGACTATGCCGGACCCTTTCAACTGCGGGCCACCAAAGGCCGTGGATTCAAATCCTACAAAGGATACATTGTAGTCTTCGTTTGCTTCGCTACGAAGGCGATCCACTTGGAAGCGGTGAGTGATATGACGACTTCAACCTTTCTAGCAGCTTATCGCAGGTTTACAGGAAGAAGAGGTCTTTGTCGACGACTGTACAGCGACAACGGAACAACATTTCAAGGGGCTGACAGAGAACTAAGATCCATGTTTAAAAGGGGATCCACATTCTACATGGAAGCCGCAGCAGCCTTCGCGAACGACGGAGCGACATGGAGCTTCATCCCCCCAAACTCACCTCACTTCGGTGGACTCTGGGAGTCCGGAGTGAAATCTGCAAAGCACCATTTGGCTCGACTGATGATCTCCCGGACATTTACGTTTGAAGAGTTTAGCACCCTTCTCACCGAAATAGAAGCCTGCCTGAACTCAAGGCCTTTATGTGCCATGTCAACTGATCCCGAGGATCTTAACGCTCTAACCCCTGCACACTTTCTGATCGGAAGTACATTGGCAATGATCCCTAACGAAGAACCACCGAAAGTACCTGACAACCGATTAAGCCGCTACGAACTTATTCAAAAAATAAGGAACAACTTTTGGAGAAAATGGTCCCAGGAGTACTTACAGTCACTGCAAGTTAGAGGCAAATGGCAGCAATCTTCAGACAATCTAAGTGTAGATCAGTTAGTACTCATCCAGGACAATCGATGTCCTCCCGCGAAGTGGCCTTTGGGAAGAGTGGTTGCGGTTCATCCGGGAGCTGACGGGAAGGTCCGAGTGGCTACAGTGAAAACAATTCACGGAACATATCGTCGCCCTATCGTGCGACTTAGCCCAATACCGCCACCTTTTTAGACAGGAAAAAGTGTCATTTGTCCTGCGGACAAGGCGGGCGGGAATATTTGGGTTTCGAAGTAGATTTCAGGTACCTGGCGACTTGAGAGGCCTGGTTGCCTGGGATTGGTCGGCTCTGGAAGGGCCGAGTAGGTCGACTTTCCCTCTCTTCTAATTGTTCTCTAGAATTCAAGGGAAACTGACCAGCGTGCTGGCAGTATTGTCTCGCGTTCTCGCTTTAGACGGTCGCTCAAGCGGATTTTGTTAAAAACCAGTTGAACCCTATTGTTCTTTTTCGTTAAAGTGTTGTTCTCGATTAATTTTTCTACTTTTGTATCGTTTGCGTTTCTTTCTTGTACACGGGGCTGTCCCCCCTCTTAGACAACCCCCCGGGTTGTCCGGAAGAAACGGAACAGTGCGGAAGTGTAAGGACGCGAACGTTTAAAAACAGTGTTTGCCTTAGTTTAATTTTACTTTTTCTTTCTTTTATTATTTTTATTTTGTTTGTTCATACCTAGTTTCTAAACTATAGATTAAACTCTGACACGATGGCTTAATGAAAAAACTATTAATGATAGCTATCCACTGCCAAATATCACGGAAATTTTTGATCAGGTTGGAGGAGCTAAATATTATTCCATTTTAGATTTAGCAAAAGGTTTCCTTCAAATAAAATTGGATCCTATAGATTCGCATAAAACTGCATTTAGTACACCCTTCGGACATTATCAATTTGTTAGAATGCCTTTTGGACTTAAAACTGCTCCATCTACGTTTCAAAGATTAATGGATACCGTTCTTCAGGGACTCCAAGGTGAAACGTTATTTGTTTATTTAGACGATATTGTCATATATGCTAACAGTATTGAAGAACATGATAGAAAGTTCCATCAATTAATGGAAAGATTAGTTCAAGCAAATCTGAAATTGCAAACGGATAAATGCGAATTTTTACGGACAGAAGTTAGTTATCTTGGTCATAAATTAAGTAAAGATGATCTTAGTCCTGACCCTAAAAAAATTGAAGCGGTAAAGAAATTTCCTGTACCAATTAACATTCGCAAAATACACTTAAATCTCGTTATAACGACAAGGTCGGGACTTTAAAATCTCGATATAACGATGACAAGAGGGGCCCCCACTTCACATTCTATTTAAAAACGTGAATTTATCTGTAACCAACTTTACAATATGTCAAATTTGTTTGACATTTAATATAAACATTCTTTAGTGTATACATATACGAATGATATTAATTTCCAATTATGGAATCGGAAAAAAAGTAAGTAATTTCTGATTATTTTATAAGTGAAATTACAAGGTTTCAAAAAATAAATATTTGTTTGTAATTACCGAAATATTGCGGTTAAACTAATTAAGTAGACAGTTGAATAAAATGTTCAGGTTAAATGTTTAGGTTCAATAAAGCTAAAAGTTAATTAATTTTAAGTTTATTTATAAATTAAAAAATTAACAACATTATTGTTTATTAAATTAAATAAAAATGTTCAAATATATACATACCTTTTAACAACTAAATTCTACTTAATTTTTTTTCTAATTTTACGATAATCACCAAATATGTAATAGTTGGTTACTATTTAACCTCATACAAGTTAATTGAGCAACAAAAAACTTTTTAAATTGATGAATCTAATAGCTTACATATTTAAATTCGATCGTGTTTTTTTTAAATTGGTGGGGGTAAAGGGGACAAATTTTTGTCGTTATATAAAGAGTTTTGGTGTTCGTAATAACAAGCGAACGTTGTATCGAGATTCGTTATAACGAGATTCGAGTGTACGAGAATTCCTTGGATTAGCCGGTTATTATCGTAGATTTATAAAAAAATTTTCTCAAATTGCCAAACCCCTAACCAAATTACTGCAAACAGATACTGAATTCAAATGGAACGAAAAATGCGATGAATCATTCAATGAATTGAAAAATCTTCTATGCAATGCCCCTCTTCTACAATTCCCTGAATTAGATAAACCCTACAATATTACTACTGATGCATCAGGTTATGCAATTGGAGGCGTTTTATCACAGGGTGAAATAGGTAAAGATAAACCTATCGCGTATTTTTCTCGTGTTCTTCGAGGTCCAGAATTAAACTATGAAGTTTATGAAAAAGAAGCAAAAGCCGCAGTTGATTCTGTTGCAGCCTTCAGATCTTATGTGTATTGTAGAAAAATTAACATATACACAGATCATCAACCGTTAATTTGGTTTAAATCAGCTGATTTAAACACTCGTGTCCAAAAATGGCGTTTCAAGTTATCTGAATATGATTATAACATCTTTCATAAACAGGGAAAAATGAATAATAACGCTGATGCTTTATCGAGAAATCCTATAGAAGTTATAACTACTAATGTTGTAACGAGAGCCCAGAAAAGGATACAGGATACGATTGTCGAAATAAATCCTGTTCCCAAAAACCCAAGTTCTGTAGAAAAACAATCCCCAATTGAGAAACAACAAAATTTAGAAGAAATAAATCCCATTATCGAACCTCTTGAGATAAAATCCTCTAAAACTAGATACCCAAAACGAAATTCAGAAAAACCCAAACCCACGTATATAGAAAGTGATGAAGATTCTGACGAAGAAGAAATAGCAAAAGCTAAACCACTCCCGATCAATAGAAAAAGAAAAGAGGTACACTTTGCCCCAGATGATCAATTAAAGTTAAGCAAAGAAATTGTTGAATCTTTTCCTGTCCCTAAACTTAGGGATAAAAATATAAATGATTCAAATTTGTCTAGTTCTGATTCGAATTCAGATTCTGAAGATTCAGATTTAGTAGAAACTTGTTCTGATACTGCAAAATGAATGATCATTAAAACTAGGGAACCAATTCAATTTCGTAGCGACAATGTAGCGTATTTCACTACCACAAATGGTACACCTTGCGGTGAAGGTGCTAAAAAATTACTAGAAAACAAAAAAATAAACCCACGACAAAAATTGACATTAGGAGAAATTGAAGAAGTGAAAAATAAAAATAATAGATTCTTCTTTCCCTTATGTTTAAGAGGAGAAGAAAAACAATCCTTATCACACATTCGCGATAATATTTTAAAATTATTTAAAAAATTAAAAGAAAAACTTGAAAATTTAGATCAAAACGAATTTTCCATTGCCAAGAGTACTGAAATTGAAGGTTTAACTTGGATAGAAATCCTTAACTTGTTAGATTTAACATTTCGAGGAACTCAAATTACAATTTTAGTATGCTACGGTACTATAACATATGTTCCAATGGATAAACGTGATGAAATCTTTTATGAATCTCACAAATGTCCATTAGCAGGTCATAAAGCGGTCAGTAAAACTTACAACCGCATTAAACAAAAATATTTTTGGGAAAAATTAAAAGAAGATGTTGCTCGAAGGATACAACAATGTTTAGATTGCCAATTAAAAAAATTAGTCAGATTAAAAACCAAGCAACCAATGGTAATAACAGACACACCAGGGGTCGCTTTGGATAAAATTGCAATGGACATTGTTGGTCCTCTTAAAATCACATCCAAAGGTAATGAATACATTCTTACCATACAAGATCTATTTTCCAAATTTTGTTTAGCAATTCCATTATCAAATACTCTGTCTAGCACGATTGCTGATGCTTTTATTAAAAAATTCATTTGCATATTCGGTGCTCCTAAAATTGTTTTAACAGATCAGGGACGAAATTTCTTAAGCGAATTGATGACTAGAGTAGCCAAACGATTCAGAATAAAAAAACTTCGAACAACAGCCTTTCATCCTCAATCCAATGGTTCTTTAGAACGATCACATCATTCGCTTGGTGAATTTTTAAAACAATATACGGATATAGATAATGAATGGGACGAATGGTTAGATATAGCCATATTAAGCTACAACACTAGTACTCACGAAAGTACAAAACATACGCCGTACGAAGTGATTTTCGGTCGTTTAGCTCGTCTCCCCTCTAGTGAACCCTTACGCGAAGGTGACTTAAATCCTACTTTTAAAGGATATATTAATGAATTAGTATCCAGACACAATGGCATTCAAAAACTTGTGTACGACAATCAAGTTACCTCCAAAGAGAAATCAAAAATCCTTTACGATAAAACTATTAATCCCGTAAATTTTAAATTAGGTGATTATGTCTTTCTTTTATCCGGACCAACACCTGGCAAATTCGGAAACTATTATAATGGTCCCTATAAAATAGTAGAAATTCTGAATAAACAAAACATTAAAATTCAAATAAAAAAGGAATTTAAAATAGTACATGCAAACAGACTCAGAATTTCTCACATTAATCCTAAATAAAATTTTATAATTGTATATATCAGAAATTAATCTAGATATAAAGTTGTATTACAGATGGATTTCTTAGTATATTTCTTATTGCTTACCCATTTTTCAACTGTGTGGTCAATAATAGGCTACGATTGTGGTGTAGGAGAATTAAACATTACTACGATCTCACTCTTACAAGTTGGAGAGTGTGAAATTCTAAAAAATGAGATACAGACCACTGATACACAGATCCAATTATTACAAATTAGTGAATACTCGGAAGTTATGGTTAAACAATGTAAAGTAAAGATTCACCGTATCATCTACTATTGTGGAATGCATTCACATATATCTGTGGTTCACAACGGTATGAATGAATACATCATGGAAACAAATAAAGACGTTTGCGATATAGCACACTCTACGGGTATGTTCAAAGTAACAGACTCACACACAATAATAGGGTTAAAGGTAAATAACACAGTTAGACATCCGGTAACACTAAAAGGTACAATAGGAAGTGATGGGTCTTGTAGCGGCGAAGGTTATTCTGATCCTTTTGGTTCTTAGAAAAATGTTGTAGTACAAGCGTCAATTACAATTACACTTTCAGAGCATTTAGCAGTTGTAAAATTAGATTCAAATAACATAATTTTGAAAACAGGAACTGTTTGTAGTTTCTCCGAAGAAAGATGCATAAATCATGATTCAGAATATACATATTGGAGATCTTT